TTTTTTTTTTTTTTTTTTTTTTTTTTTTTTGTTTTTTTTTTTTTTTTTTAAATAAGTTTTTATGCATTTTGATTAGCAGCAGTATATGTTTGTTTTTTTTTTGTGAATTTTGTTTGCGCATTGCTATTTTGGTATTTTTTCCTTGTTTATAAAAATTTAATTAAATAAATAAAACTCTGATAACTAAATTATTTAATTATTTTCATTTTTTAATTCTATTACAATATAATTTATCCAATTTGAGGGGAGGGGAAATGTTTAAAACAGAGTGGGCCTGCAGTACTGCAAAATGATTAAGAATCCTGGCCCTAGAGCTTTTACTAAGTTCAACCCTTGTCTACCATTTTTTTCTGTTCAATCTCCCACTTCACGTGATATTCCTAATTCCATGAACCCAATCTCCGCATTTTGACATCAATTCTCTGGACTGTCAATGTCACTACACCAATTTTCTTCTCTGTGGCAGCATGTAACTTAATCAGAGGCCATTATTCGGACCTCGCAAATCTGTACTCTTTCAGCGATTGTAGTTTAAAAATAAAGTATTATAATTGTTGTACCAAAGAATAATGTTGAAAATGTATGTAATTTAGGGGTATTAGTGGAAATTTTTTTACGTTAATACTCCATTTATCATGTGACATCCCATTGCTTAAGCTCTCCCTTGTCACACATCATCACAAAAATGTGACCTCCTCCCCACCCTCTAGATGCGTGACATCATTTATGGATGGCCCCTAAACTGGTTGTAAAATTAGTATAAATTTTGTAGTGTTGGCTATACACCAACTGACAATTTTTCAACCATAATCTAAGCAGAAGACCTTTATGAAATTTCAAATTTATAGAAAAATAGAATTTTAAAATCATTGTTTGAAAATACATTTTTTTTCTTTAAAATTTGTTCCTGAATCCTGTGTTTTGTTTTATCCAAATTTAAAACAAAATGTCTCAATTTGAACATTTTAAAATATTGTTTACCTATTCAGGTGGCTGTTGTGGAGCAGAGGGCAGAAAATACATTATTGGAGGATGGGGATGGGCCTGGTGGCTCGTGACTGACACTCAAACGTAAGATGCACTAACTTAAAAGGTTTATCTGTGGCTGCAGAATAGTTAACAATAGATGAAGGTTGAAAACATATACCATGTTCTCTTCCTATTTAATTTAAATTGTGCAGTGACTAATGTACAAGTTTTTTATGTGCAAAAAAAAAATAAAGACAAATATTTTTCTATTAAATATTATTATATATTCCTTCTTTTCTTCCAATTGACCAATTTTTTAAATATTAGGATATTAGGATTCTTTTGCTTTAAAAAATTTTCTATGAAAACATATTAAGCCTTGCATACCTAAACCATAAAGCATTGATTTGTGTTGTAATTTTACTTTTTGACTAATTGAACTTCAAATGCATTGATCTTCTTTTTTTTTTTTTTTAAATATTATATCTCTGGAGGTGATGACACTTAACCCACAATTGTGGAGTGTTGAAACTTCTGAGGTTGTGCCTGTACATAAAGCATTGATTTGTGTTGTAATTTTACTTTTTGACTAATTGAACTTCAAATGCATTGATCTTCTTTTTTTTTTTTTTTAAATAGTATATCTCTGGAGGTGATGACACTTAACCCACAATGTGAGAGTGTTGAAACTTCTGAGGGTGTGCCTGTCACTGTCACTGGTGTGGCTCAGTGTAAAATTATGAGATCCCCTGACATTCTGAAGAAGGCTTGTGAACAGTTCCTAGGGAAATCTCCTCAGCACATAGAGCATGTAATCCTTCAGACTCTTGAGGGTCATCTTAGGGCTATTTTAGGTAAGTGTTACATTTCTGTCAGACTTGGGCTGTTTTTAATATCCTTTTAATCCTAATGGGATTATAGATTGTTATTTTATTCTTTTAATCCATAATTAAAGTTACCTTTTCATTATTTGAATTCTGGCTTGTTTGATACTCCTAACCTACTTTTTTTTTAAGTTGAAAAAAAAAATTCCTATGTGTTCTTTTAAAAAATATCTGTTAATCTTAGTTGTCTTGTTTTTGCATTAAAAGTCTTGTATTGTAACTTCTGAGATTGGTGTTTAAAAGAGTGAAATTATTTTTTAATTTAATCTGAGCAAGAAATATATTCGTCAAAATATATAAAGATAATTATTATTTCTTATTAGGTACTCTAAGTGTTGAGGCAATTTATCAAGATCGAGACCAGTTTGCCCAACTTGTGAGAGAAGTGGCAGCACCAGATGTGGGCAAGATGGGTATCGAGATTCTCAGCTTCACCATAAAGGACATTTTTGACAAAGTTGAATACTTATCGTCCCTTGGTCGTGCTCAGACAGCAAATGTTAAGAGAGATGCAGATATTGGTGTCGCAGAGGCAAACAGGGATGCTGGCATCAGGGTATCTAATTTCATCTACT